GGAAAAGGAAGGACGTATTTGTCGGCCGCATCAGAGGAGTCTTCGGTTTTGGACGTCCTTCGTCGCGGCGCTGTGACGTATGCAGCCGATGAATTCGGCCCTCAGAGGACCTGTCCTGTCGTTTTGGACACAGCCGTAGAAGGATTTCAGTAAGAGTTTGTGTCTGTTCATCAGGCAGTGRTTGGAAGGTTTAATGTTTGAGGGTAAACACATTCAACTCAAACACTACTAGATAAACACACAACCTTAGTTTACAGGTTGTGTTTTACTCTTAACCTTATTTAGTAACTTTATCAGATCTGAAGAACAAGTGTGGGCTGGGGAAAAATAAATTTTAATCAATCCTGGATCAGTTTCATTTAAATTTGGGACAATGGATTCACTGGACATGAGTTTGATTGTTCCCCATCGTGTCTTGTTTGATGAACCTGAGGAGTGTTTCTATATTTTGTGTCACTCCTGGTTTGTTGTGTTTTTACACCTGGTTCAGTGCTAATGTTAGCTTCTGACAACAAGTAGTCTGGATCAAAAAACATTACAGCTGATTGTCCACAGAACTTAAAGACAACAGAGACCATGGTGACTTGTTTGTATGTGTTAGAAACAAAGGCTTTGAGCAGCTGGTTCAGATGTTGAACCAAACTACTGTGTGTAAACATCTGACTGAAACTGTTCTCATTATAAATGTGTGGAAGATGACTGTCTCACTAAATCCCTTACTTCTATTACCAATATTTTTTAACTTTAAGAAATGTCTAAAGAAATCCACAGTGATGAAATATTGTAGTTGTATAATATTTTTCTTTTTTAAATAAGTTCTATTGAACATAAACAACAGAAGGTAATGGTTTACAAACATTACAAACATACAGTTTTCATACACTCAACAGTAGTGAGCAGAGGTAGTTATATTAGCCCAGCCCTTCTCCTGCAGAATTATTCCATCACTTCTTTTTCATCAAAACATTTATTCTGTCTTAGAAATGAATCATCCAACAACTCTGTCACCTGCAATTCCTCTTTAATTCTAAACCTTTGAAACTTGACAGTTTTCTGTCAAGATTAAACTGTTAACTTTACAAGTTTGCCCTTAAAACCTGTTGTTTATGGTGAAGAGAAAAAATAAAGTGAATCGGTAATTTGCAACACAGTTTTCATTATTTAAGAGCAGATCCAATCAAACTGAACTGAATGGAGATGAATCGATTCAGAACTTTACGATACAGCCCTAAAGTCAGCTGATGATGGGTTGTAACTAACTTTAAATTTTTTTTGTTTTTTCCCAGTCCAAAGAGTTTTTGAAGAAGAACGCTGTTGTCACAAGTGGCTTCGTTGGAGGGTTCCTGCTGGGTCTGGCCTCTTAGGRTCTGCCACAACACAAGTGTCCTGGAATACCTATTGTACACTTAAAGGTTTTATTTTTTGTCTTTGGCAGCAAGTGGTTATTTTCTGTTTCTCCTGAAGTCATTTTATCTGCAGAACAGAACATGWTGTTCTGTCAGAAACACTGTATTCAAACCATCTGTTGGATAAATGACTGAAAGCTTTTAGAAACACACAGGTCAATTGAATGTTTTTGTTTTTCATATTTAAAGTGAGTTTGTGTAAAGTGTTGTAATCATGCACTCCTTTTAAAGCTCAACCCAGTTAAATTGACCTTGTTTTACCGTTGATCTCATCAAACATTTTTAATGTTACTGTTGAGTGCTGATGGATGTAAACATTATGATGCTGTGGTCACAGGTCCTACATTGCATTTGTGTGTTTTTGACTGATTAATTTGATGCTTTAAGACTTTGGTTTGAACATTCTGTAAGAAAATAAAGATGCAGGAATGAGTTAAATGTGTCACTTTATGTTTTTAATCTTGTCCTGGAGTCTTTAATGTGCTTAAGTTAAACTTTACTCTCTGAGCTGGACTCTTCCTTTTCTACAATTKTCTCTTTGTAACAATCGTTGCTAAGAGACGCTCCTAACAAAACAAAAGAGCTAGTAACCAAAAGCAACCTGTGAAAACCTAGCCTCCTGACGGGTGGACAAACAGATACAATAATACTGCAATGGCTTCTCCATTTCTGCCAAGGAACTCCTCCAACCTTCAGGTAAGTGTTTACATTAGGTTTGATTCTGGAGTCGGTTAGTCTCAGCAGAAAACTACCTCATTAACTAAAACTAACAGGTTAGTCTCAGCAGAAAACTGCCTCATTAACTAACAGGTTAGTCTCAGCAGAAAACTACCTCTTTAACTAACAGGTTAGTCTCAGCAGAAAACTACCTCATTAACTAAAACTAACGGGTTAGTCTCAGCAGAAAACTACCTCATTAACTAAAACTAACAGGTTAGTCTCAGCAGAAAA